GATGGGGCCACGAATCTAGCAAAGCTACTGTTCCCTGGAAGGGCTACTGTGACTGGGTGCATACTGCCTCCCGACAATAGCCCCTTCAGAAAACAGGACTTTGAGTTTTTGACGTGTTTACCATCCTTTGCAGGCGGGCCGTGGTGCTCACCTGGTCCGAAACCCCCCGGAAAACCTTTGTCTGTCTTTTTCTGTCTTTCTGTTTTCCAACTACATTTCTGTACTTGCTTGCCCGTGATAAGCAACCGGACTGCTGCCCCCCAGAATAGATGGGGCTTGTGTGTGCGAGTGTCTTTAAAAAAAAAAAAAAAAACTGCGAATTCAGAAGAAGGCGGCGATGAAACATTGCAGCAAGGAGAAGGGCAGGGGGACCCCCCCTCCACGACAGTCCAAGGCTCGCTTCAATCAGTGATGGCAGCGGGTGAGTGCTATGTGTGCCCGATTATCCTCTGGTGGGCGGATACAGAGATCCTCGTCCTTACTAAAGGACTGGATCGCCTCTTCACGTTCACCACTAAGGAACTCCCCCGAAACTCGTGTATTAGTCGGCAGGTCAATCGGTGGGTGGGCTCACATTACAAGGTCAGAGTGCTCCCCAAGGTGTCTACAGGGCCACTTTTTTCGTAGGCCTCCTCAAGGAGCAGAATATGGCTTATGCATCTACTTCGTGGCGGGCGAGCCGAAACGGTCAGGGACCGCACAGCTCTCGCACAGAGACGCTATGTGGACTAAGTTCTCGACTATCTTTGGCCCTGATGCTAGTCCGACAGACATTCGAATTGTTAAAGAGATCTCGGCGGGCATCCTTCAGCGTCTCAATTGTAGAATTCCATCGGAACAGAAGATTGGCTCTACCAACTTTCGCCGTGCGACAGGCTGGTGGGCTTAGAGTATATAATTCTTGTATGGATTAGGATAGGATATAGGAGTACAAAAGTTACTTGGATTATGGTGCCCCGAGGGTAGAGCACCTTTCCCGGTTGACATGTATTTCGTGTGTTTGGTGTCATCTTTTTTAATGGATTTTTGTCATTTTTTTTCGTTTTTTGTTATTTTTTGTTGAAATTTGTCGAAATTTGGTGATGACAGCCTCGTTAGAACACTCTTTTGTGTATCCTTTTCTTAATGGATTCTTGCCGTTTTCACGTTATTTTTTGTTGAAATTTGTTGAAAGTTGGTGAGGATAGTTTTGTTAGTGGACGATCTGGTAATAGCAGGGGACTTTAACACCACCATTTGCCCAGGACTAGATTCACTGATGGAACGGGACCCCACGCCAGATGTGGGAGCTCTTCAATACACTATGGCCCAACTGGGATGTGTAGATGCCTACCGCTCGCTTAATCCGGATGCTAGGGAATACATGTGGTACGGCCCTAATGCGGAGAGAAGAAGCCGTACTGATATGATTTGGGTCTCCCTTACTATCTACAGCGTAGGCTGTGAGGTATGGTCAGTGCCTACTGCCCTCTCTGATCATGGAACGCTTATGACCTCCCTCCCGGTGGGGGATGTAGAAATTGGACGGCCCCCCCCTTCCCTCCCTGCGTGGGTCTTCAGTAACCCTCAGTACCGGTCTCTAGTTAACCAGCATTGGATATGCTGGATGGAGTCAAAACCTGATCAGATGGGAGAGCTTGAATAGATTCTGCAAGGCCAGCAGGCCATACGAATCTGTTTACAAAAACGACAAGCAGACAGCTATCGGGCGCACCTGGCAACAGGACAAGAGTACGTGACACGGATGGAGCAGTTAAACGAAGGACCTAAAGACGGGCAAGGGGAGGAGGAATGGTGGGCTGAAAGGCTGGAAGCCAATCGGTTGTGGAAGGAATGAGCGATTAACGAGGCGGTGAACTGGGGGCGCCGGTCCAAGGTTAGGTGGATAGTGACTGGGGAGAGGATGTCTAAGCGATTCTTCAGAGAGATGGGGGTGAACAGAGGCATAGCCACCATATCAGCAATGGACCATCCCTTTGACGAATCCATTGCTCGTCAGGAATCCACCCAGGGCATCCTGAGATGTGTAGTAGACTTCTACTCGGATCTGTTCACAGAGGAGGAGCACTGGACCACGTCAAGTCTCAAGACTCCGAAGCCCTGGAGAAGGATATTTCGGAGGAGGAAGTTAGTAATGCTATAATGGAATTGCCAAGGCTGATGGCCCCGGGCGTTGACGGGATTCCAGTGGAGATGTTTAAGGAGGCTCGTAGTGTTTTCGCCCCTATGCTGGCTTCTGCCTTTAACCAGGCACTGAGTAAAGGACATCTGCCTGCAGGACTTGCGGATGCCTTCGTCATTCTTCTCTATAAGAAGGGACCGTGGGAAGATGTCCGGAACTGGAGGCCAATTTCGATTCTGAACGCAGTTTACAAGCTACTGGCGAAGGTCCTCTCTAACAGGGTTGGCCGGATTCTGCCCAGCATTATACACCCCTGGCAGACCGGGTTTGTCCCAGGAAGACATTGTATCAAATATTATGCTCGCCCGCCAAGTGCAGCAACAAGCGGACCTCGATGACCAGTTGCTGGCATTCGTCACCATAGACCTTGAGAAGGCCTATGACCGAGTCAGATGGGAGTTCCTGTTGCAGAGCATGAAGCAAAGAGGAATCGGTCCGGTGTTCTGCAACTGGATTCGCTTGCTGATGAATAATGCTGGCACTTATATGCAGGTGAACGGTGTTCATTCGAATCGCATCCCCCTCACCCGCTCGGTGAGACAAGGGTGTCCATTGTCCCCTGCTCTTTATGTGATTTACATCGAGTCCCTGCACGACATCCTCAGAGCAGACCAGCAATTACAAGGCCTGAACATGACTCCGGCCCTCACTCTCAAGTCCACTGGATTCGCGGATGATACGGGGTCTATTATCCCCCCCGAAACGGACCAGCTAAGGAAGCTGCAGACAGACCTGGACATATTTGCCAGGTTCTCGGGGGCCCGGGTCAACTGGTCCAAATCCAGGGCGATCCTGCCCAAAGGGTGTGCTATCCCTGAGGGCTGGGACATACCGACGCTGCACGACGGCGAGAACCTATGCTTCCTGGGGGCCATTGTCATTCCGGATGAAGGAGGGTCTTGTCAGATGGAGTCACTGGCAACAGCAGCAATAACACGGCTGGGCCGTTGGGCAAAGAAGGTGCACTTGGGAGTGTATGGGAAGTCATTGGTCCTCAACAAGTCGGTGATGTCTACTCTGTGGTATGCTGGGGCTATTCATATGCCGAAACGCCGTACTCTCCAACGTCTGCGGACTCGGTGATGTCTACTCTGTGGTATGCTGGGGCTATTCATATGCCGAAACGCCGTACTCTCCAACGTCTGCGGACTGCGTCGCAGAGGTACCTGTGGGCCGGAGACGTGGGAGCAGTAGACTCCATTCCGAGGGTGGCATGGAGAAAACTGACCCAGCCAAGAGTGGAGGGAGGGCTGGGCATCATCGACCCTGAGTGGAAGATAACGGCGCTGCAGTTAAGGAGCCTGCTATGGGTCCTGTTAGGGACTATGGGAAGCGCCTGGGAATCACTATCTCACCAGCATATTGCGGCTGCGGCAGGGATTCCAGTGGAGATGGTGCAGATCGCCCTTGCTTGCCCAGCCTGCATCAAGCACGTGACGCAATCATGTGTGGTCCACAATGCTGACGTGTTGGAAGGGAATGCAGCCTGATCAATCGCTCCCCTCAATGGCAGACGAAGTGTACAACCAGGTCCTCTTCGATAACCCATGTATCTGCACAATCGAAGGGGACCGGTTTGCATGGGCTGGGTGCAAGGGTGCTTTTGGGAGGCAATGGGCAGAGTGTGGGGTATTCAAAATAGGTCATCTTTGGAACGATGACGGCCGTGACTGGGCTAAAGCGGAACAGATGGCTGAACGACTCCCCTATCAACCCCACCGGCAGCGACGATTGGTGGAAATCAAGGAAGCAATTCCTACTCAATGGGTGGACCTGCTAAGGATCGATGGGCTGCAGGGGGGAGAATGGCTCAGAAAGAAAGGGGAGACACACCCATCGCACCTGTTTCTGATAACAGGAGTAGATAGGGACGCCATTGAGATGCAACAATGGGAAGTGCTCACTGGCTATGCGGGGCTGGGCTCTCCAATGCGGCCATCTGCTGAAGCTGGAAGGATCATAGCCCGAAGAGCAGAGGTGGAGACAGTTGCGGTATGTAAGGGAGGGAGAGTGGGCGGGTCATCAGAACAGTACCTCCCCTTCTGTGTTGGGAGGACTAGGCGGCAGCTGTCTATCGATCCAAAGGAATGGACTTGGCCGAGGCAAAACCATCACTTCAGGAAAACCCCCGTCCACCAAGTCACCACGAAGATCATGTACCGCTCCCTGCTACCTAAAGTGGATATTCAGGAAGAATTGGTTAACAGATGGTACAAGCGAGGTTGGGTGCCTGATGCCGCTCTGCTAAGATGGAGGCCCAAGGCATGGCGAGAACAGAACACCTTGCTCAAAGCCTTCACTAATCAGAAACAGGCAGCCCTGTTATGGATGATCTACCATCTGGCGGTCCCTACAGCGCAATGGCAGGCGGGCAAGAGCCAGTTCCGTGACACGCTCTGCACTGCAGACTGTGGCCAGGAGGAGACAATACCCCACCTGTTCGTACAGTGTCCACTAGTAAGAGAGCTTTGGCAATGGTGGGCGAGTGAGATGGCGGACAAAACCCCCCTTGTGGTCGCGGAAGATGACGTTGCCACCATCCTGTTGGGGGCAGTGGTTCTTGTGGACAGAAAGGACAAGCGGCGAATGTACGCAGGGAAGTGATATGGGCAGCAATGTTGTGGGCCATTTGGACTTCAAGGAACGAAAGAATCAGGTTGGGAAAGCAGAGCTCGATAATGCAACTGCGACAGCGCTCTCTGGAAGGAATGAGGATGGCGATTTCTGCAAAGGCCTCAAGAAGTCGAAGATCGCCAGCTGCAGGTCTGCGGAAATTTTGGCGGGTCTGGGGAGGATACCCGGACCTACCGTAACTACCCTATGGTAAGGCTTCCAAGCCTTAACGAAGAACGACCAGCTGCCATTCCGTCTTCTAGATACATCCGCAGCGATCGTCGTCCTCAGATTCCGCACCATCAAGGCCCGAAGTGTCGGAAAAGAAGGCGGCACCCCATCCCTCAACAACCTGGCTCGCACGGCCCACACTGCCACCCAAAAGGCCGCACGAACGGTATCAGCAGCGTAAGCCTCAGCCATCCCCGTGACATCTCCCGAAAGGAGGAGCCCCACCAGGACTGGTGCACTCCTTGTCCGGGCCCCAGAAAGGGGGACCGCATCCCCCAAGGAACCCCACCATTCCCAAAAAGCCACTTGCGGCACACATTCCAACCATATATGGGGCAGTGACTCCACCTCATCATGGCAACACCTGCAAGACCTGTCCTTGTGCGAACACCTATCCGCCAACCACAAATAGGTGGGCTGACCCAGCTGGAGGCAGAGCCACAAGCCCCCTGCGTGCTTCTGATCCGGAAGAGGGGCAAGCACCCTGCAAGCTTTCCGCCAGGTCGACACATCCCAGCAAGCAAGGCCTTCTGATCCAACCATCCCCTCTTCCTCCATCCCTCCCGCATTTCATCGACCATGTCCGTCGGGACCAGCAGGGACCTGTAAATCACCTTCGTAGTCACCTGATGGATTCTGCAACACTTCATTAGCGAGTTCCTGGGCCCCCACTCCCAAACCGACGGGTCCCAAGAGAATTGAAGCGGCCTACAAGCCGGCTTGAAAGGACGAAACCCCCCCCCCTTAGAGACCGTCTGGTCCCTCAACACCACAACTGACCTTATGTTCTCCTCATGGAGCCTCGTGTCCGGTTCCGGTCGTCGGACAAGAACGTCGCCCAGCACCTTTTGCTGGCCGACATCCTCCCAAGCCTCCGCCGCATACCACTGAGACCCCAGTCTCTCCTTGAGCTGGAAAAAGATGACCGGGCGGCCCTGACCCTCTAGGGTGACCCATTCCCCTTGCATACGGTCCTTGGCCACTAGGCAATCAATCCAATCCTGCGGAATTGCTTGCTTAATTTCCTCCAGCCTTTCCTGCTTCTTCGGCTGATGATCCAGCCGCTGAAAAACCTCGCCTTCTTCCTTCCACGTACCTCCCTGCACATCCCAAATATCCCCAACCCGAGTCACACCACATGACAACCACTGTTTCCCAAAGGCGCCCGGACAACATTGCCACGGGAAAGGGACGCCTAGCCGCAATATGAAACGGTTCCCGAATAAACTCTGCCCCAGGATCTGATCGCATGTCCGCGGAGCAGTTTGACGCAGAGGTGCCTCACGCCATTTCTCTAAGGCACTTGACCATTGCGCCCCCCTCCGAAGACCATGCACAAGCTGGGGGTGAAGGAGGGTCATCTCAACATCTGCCGGGTGCACCTTGATAGCCTCTGCCATCTCCAACAATGTGACCAGCTTCCAAATCATCCTCCAAGAGGAGCCACAAAACAGTCCTCATCTGCAACACGGCAACCTGAACACGGGGGTCCAACAACCCCAGCCCTCCAACCGATCTCGGTTGCACCAGCTTCTCCCATCACATCCTGTAGATGAGATTTGACACACCGGGGTCGTCCTTCCACAAAAGTTTCCTCAGGGCCCGCTTATAGTCCTTCCATGCTTTCTTCGGAGGGTCCGAAACCGCTCCTGCATACCACAGTGTTGCCGACACCGCGTTATTGGCTATGAGCACCTTCCCAAACACCCCATGCGACGCTCGCTTAGCCCATGCCACCATGCGCACCACTGCATGATGCAACAGATCCTCGAGTCGCTGACCTGTGGAGAGTGCCGTCGGGACCAATATGCCGAGATATAGAAATTGGTCTCCAGGCAATTGAGTCCTCATCCCTTCAAACATCGCGACATCAACCCCAGCCGGGACCACTGCCACCGGCTTCCCCCAGTTGATCCGTGCACCCGCGTACTTCTCAAAGAGAGTAACTTCATTACGCAAAGTCGAGACACTTTGATGCGTCGCCCAGGTCACTGCCACTGTGTCGTCAGCAAACGCATTAGATTTAACCTGGGCCCCCCCGGGCAACTCGAACCCCAAAATCTGATCGTTTGCTCGAATCATCTCATGCAAGTGCTCTATGTAAAGAACATACAAAGCGGGGAGAGCGGGCACCCCTGCCGCACAGAACGCGTGATCTTCAGGGGGGAGGACAAAAACCCATTGACCTGTATCTTAGCCACCGCCATCCCCAACACTCCTTCAACAGCCTTCACGAAACCCTCCCCAAACCCTCTACACCTCATACCTTGAAGAAGGAACTGCCACCTGACTCTGTAATAGGCCTTTTCAAAATCCAAAATGAGAATCGCCAACGGGTGCTGAGAGTTTCGCGCCCTCTCCATGATCTGCCGAACCAGGAGAACATTCACAAGGATCTGTCTCCGAGGGACAAAACCAGTCTTGGTGGAATGTATAAGGGCGGGCAACACAACGGCAACTTCATTCGCCAACACCTTCGCATACAATTTAGACGGCACCAATAGAAGAGAGATGGGCCGCCAGTTCCTAACCTCCTCAATACACCCCTTCTTGTACAGGAGGACAATTGTAGCCTGGCCAAATGCGGCGGGGGGGGCCTCCTCCCCTGAGTACAAACGGTTGAAAGCCTCACATAAGTACGGAAGGAGGGGCTTCATTGCAGCCATCAAATATTCGGCCGGCAAACCATCCGGGCCCGGCGCCTTACCCCTGTGCATCCCAGACAGAGCCCCTGCTACTTCCTCCTGAGTAATGGGTGCATCCAAAGTAGCCATATGCTCCAGCGTCACCCGAGTGGCACACTTATCCCACACTTCCTTTGCCGGCACAGCGGCCACGTCCTCCTGTGGCCAGTACTCATCTTCACGGTATAGATTATCATAAAACAGCTCGACGTACCGGAGGATGTCAGTAGTATTTTCCGCTCTCTCCTCAAGTGGATCAAAAGGATGCCCCATCGCCACAATCAGCGGCGAATGAGACGTTTTCTTCATTTGGGCAAAGAATGCCTTGGACATGCACTCCGCGTCCCGTACCCACTTAATCTTAGAGCTAAGGCCCCACAACTCCGCATCACGGGCCTGCCAACTAGCCCACTCTGAATGCAACAGAACCCACTCCGCCCACCATTCGTCTTTACCCCCTGCTGGCGGAATTTCACCCAGCGCCTCCATCCGGCGGAGGTACTCCTGACTCGTCTGATCATGCGCTTGCCTTGAAGCCTTAGCCCTCCTCTTCATATTAGCAGCCAAGGCCCGGATGCCATGTTGGAGATGCTCGAGGAACGGCAAATGATGAGGACGCGAACGAAGCCAATATTCCTAGTGCTGCTGGACAAGTTCACTGTTAAGAGCATCGGACAACAACCATGTTGGAACAGACATCGGAGGGGGCCTTCTGAGCACTCAGGGATGCAAGGCCAGTGAAGCGATGATAAACTTGTGGTCCGATATCGGCACCAGCTGCTGGTCAAAGCCCTGAAGGTTCGGCAAGAGATCAGCCGAAATCCATGCCATGTCCAACCTGGTTAGTAGGAGAGGGGAAGTCCCAAACCAGGTGAAACTCCTGTCATCCGAGAAAATCCTGCGAAAAGCATCCACCATAGCCATATCAGCCATTAAGGCACACAAGGCTGGATCCCCCGACACAACCGAGTCCCTACCCGGCCGAATGATCGTATTGAAATCCCCTATCAGCAGCATGGCATCCGTCTCGGGGAGACAAGCCGTAAAATTCCTCCAAAACCACTTACGCTCTGTGACATCCACCGGAGCATAAACCGTGACCACCAACAACTTCCTCCCCCCTTCTTCAATGAACACCCACGCCCACCAACAACTTCGTCAAAATAATTGGAACTCCCCCTTTAGTCCCCACCGCCGGAGCCCACAGTTGGAAAGGGCCCCCCAAAACAAATTCAGGAAAGGACAACCTTTCCCCCCTCATCCTGGACTCCGAGATTTTCGTCTCCTGAAGACGGATGACTGGTAATCTAGCTTTCCTAACAATCTTCCTCACCTCCTTAGCCTTAACACTAACCGATCGATCCCCCAGACCTCTGACATTCAACGAGCCCACTTAAAACATAAGCAACTATATAGACAAGATGACAGGGGTGACACAAAAACCAACCACCAAACAAAACTTGGAAGCAATCCCGGGCACGCCAAGCCCTCCTCGTGCATCCACGGAGAAGCAAACCATCACAACCATCAACATCCATTCCCCCGCGACCGATCCGAACGCGGCATACGCACCGAGACTCTCGACCTCCTTCGCGGGACCACCAGGCCATTCTGCCTCTTGGAGCAACTCATCTGTCCTGTCCCTTGCGAGTTGGTCCAAGAAGCAGATCCCCCGGGGGGCTGCACAAGGCGCCGAGGACCGTACAACCACTTTTCGGTCGACAACCAAAACCTATTGCTCGAAAAATGCTTGGCCGCCGGCATGTGTCTGTCAAGATCCTTGAGAATCCGCAGAGGGGCCGACATCACCGTGATAACTGCATGCTCTTCATCCTCCACAGAGTCAAGGACCAGCGCAAGATTTCGCCAGCCAAAACTAGGGGCCGACAGAACAATCCCCTGCAAATGCTCATACTTCGCGCGTACAAAGAAACAGTACAATCCCACCGAAAAACCATAACTGGTGGGGGCCAACAAACGAATGGAAGAGATACCGGGAACCATTGCCACCTCCGCCGTAGCACCCAGCCATTCCCGTGCTGGCGACAAGGCTCGCTGCTGAGTGGGCATTACAGACAAGGCTATCATCGGAAGTTTTTTTTTTTTTTTTTTTTTTTTCTATAAAAGGTCCAGGGTGTAGTAGAGGGTGGCAACTAGGCCTCAGGGAGAGCCCCCTGTACTCATTCGTTGGGAGGCCTGATGGGTTGCAGGATCCCTACGGGATTTTAGACTCAAGGCAGTGCCACCTAACCTATATTATTGCTCAGATCGCAAGTTGTGACCTGCGCCTGTGCTTACCGGACTACGCCCGAACGCTAATGCAGATGCTACCCTAACCCTACGGTCAAGGACAACCCGGGTGCAGGCTAGGTCCCACATAGAGCGGTCATTCGTAAGCCCGCGCCACACCCCAGGCTGAGCGGACTCTAGACAGCGAACTGCCCTTCTACCAACGTGCGATAACCCCAACCACCCCCGTCTAGACATGGCGCCACGTCTGAGACAAGCATATGACTACTGGCAGGATCAACCAGGTAGCGGGTGTGACAAGCAGCCGCAAGGAGCGATGTCCGAGGCGCACGAAGGCACGTCATGCCGGCCAGCCTACCAAAAGAACGTCGAACAATCGTGGAACGTGCAATGACCTGCCGAGACGTCGCGAAGTCCGGCTGTTTGAATTGCAGGTGAACTTCCCCTTTGTAGGCCATCTCCAACGGCAAGGTACCGCACAATCCAACACAGCCCGCCACACCCGCTCAAAAGATTGGCTGCGAACAGCACCTGCCCACACCACACCCTGAATTGCAGGTGACATTATCCGAACAACGGTGAGCGCGAAGGAACCACCGACAGCTTCGGCCCACAGCCGGATCCCACCGCCCGCCCAAAACGTACCGACAACAAAGTGCACCGCCTCATCTCTCCATCGAGAAACGCGGGTGAAGAGAGAAACGAATGCACCACGCTTCCAACACGCCCGGACGGACGGAAAGCCTCCACCTGT